GGAGGGGAGGGAGGGGGAGGGAAGGGGGAGGCAAGAGGGAGGGGAGGGAGGGGGAGGCAAGAGGGAGGGGAGGGAGGGGGAGGCAAGAGGGAGGGGAGGGAGGGGGAGGCAAGAGGGAGGGAAGGGGGAGAAAGAGGAAGGGAAGGGGGAAGGGAAGAATGAGGGGAGGACGAAAGACGGGAGGGAGTGAAGCAAGAGGGAGATTAAGGCGGAAGCAAGAGAGAGGGAAAAGAAGGGAAATCGAGAGAGAGGGAAGGGAGGGGAAAGCCAGAGGGAGGGAAAGACGGAAGCAAGAGAGAGGGAAGGAAGGGGAGAACCAGAGGGAAGGAAGGGGAAAGCCAGAGGGAGAAAAGGGGAAAGCAAGAGAGAGGGAAAAAGAGGGGAAAGCAAGAGAGAGGGAAGGGAGGGGAAAGCCAGACGGAGAAAAGGGGAAAGCAAGAGAGAGGAAAAAGAGAAGAGAAGATGGAGAAAGAGCAACATACAAAACGTGAAAATGAAAGAAGGATGATTGATGAGCGGGATAAAGAGGAAAAAGAAAAGGGAGGAAAGGAAGAGGGAATAAGGGATAGAAGAAAAGAAGAAGAAATAATCCGAAGGAAAATATGAGAAAGAAAATGAAATAAAGCACAAACAAGCGAGAAAAAAATCATACTAGCCACTAATGCAACGAACAAACCAGCACAAACAAAAACAAACAAGAAAACAAAATAGAAAAAGACAAACAAACAAACAGACAAGCAAAAATACAACAAAACAAGAAATCAGGAAAATAACGGCGGCGGGAAGGGGGGGTGCAAGAAAGAAGGGAGGGGAAAGCCAGAGGGAAGGAAGGAGGAAGCAAAAGGGAGGGAAGGAAGGGGAAAGCCACAGGGAGGGAAGGGGGGAGCAAGTGGGAGGGGAGGGAGGGGGAGGGAAGGGGAAAGCCACAGGGAGGGAAGGGGGGAGCAAGTGGGAGGGGAGGGAGGGGGAGGGAAGGGGGAAGCAAGTGGGAGGGGAGGGAGGGGGAGGCAAGAGGGAGGGGAGGGAGGGGGAGGCAAGAGGGAGGGGAGGGAGGGGGAGGCAAGAGGGAGGGAAGGGGGAGAAAGAGGAAGGGAAGGGGGAAGGGAAGAATGAGGGGAGGACGAAAGACGGGAGGGAGTGAAGCAAGAGGGAGATTAAGGCGGAAGCAAGAGAGAGGGAAAAAAGGGGAAAGCAAGAGAGAGGGAAGGGAGGGGAAAGCCAGAGGGAAAGAAGGGGAAAGCCAGAGGGAAGGGAGGGGAAAGCCAGAGGGAAAGAAGGGGAAAGCCAGAGGGAAGGGAGGGGAAAGCCAGAGGGAGGGAAAGACGGAAGCAAGAGAGAGGGAAGGAAGGGGAGAGCCAGAGGGAAGGGAGGGGAAAGCAAGAGAGAGGAAAAAGAGGGGAAAGCAAGAGAGAGGGAAGGGAGGGGAAAGCAAGAGAAAAGAGGGGAAAGCAAGAGAGAGGGAAGGAAGGGGAGAACCAGAGGGAAGGGAGGGGAAAACAAGAGAGAGGGAAAAGAGAAGCAAAAGAGAGGGAAGGGAGGGGAAAGCCAGAGGGAGGGACAGCCCGCTGCCCTTTTATTGATCAAAGCCGTCGGAGATGTAGTAATCAGACAAATAGTCTCGGACGTGAAGCCGCCACACGCCTTGGACCCGGTGCTTTGTGATCGAGCGATTCCCCTTATGGTTATTATTGCTTCAGACTTTATTAATGTACACTTTGGTAGACGCATGTGGGTGTCTGTATGTTTACTTTTATGTGTGCATTTTTTTTTTTTTTTTTTGTATTTTGTATCCAAATGGAAATTGTTTAAGAATACAGTTTTTGGAATAGATTAATTGGATGTTTGGGGACTATTTTGGGGAAGAAATGAGGATATTAATATATTGTATAGGAGGTCCGATTTATACACACACACGCACACACACACACACACACACACACACACACACACACACACACACACACACACACACACACACACACACACACACACACATACACACACACACACACACACACACACACACACACACACACACACACACACACACACACACACACACACACACACACACACACACACACACACACATATTGGTAAAAGAAAAAGGAAAACTAAAAATATCATTCAACCAAAAATGACGTTGATGGAATGGTATGTGACTTACAGAGAGCCATTCAGATGAGAGAATTGCGTTTCCGTTTTAGTTGTCAGTCGCTCAAAAATAGATATAAAAATGTTATAAAGGGAGCAGGGTGGAAGGGGAAAGGGTGAGGGAAAGGGGAAAGGGGAAGGGGGGAGGGGGGAGGGAAGAGGGGGTAGGCGACCTGTAATGGGACAGTAATAATGAAGTTATTCGAAGCTCGGCGACCGGTGATGGAGTGGTAGGTAGGGGGGGTGGAGGGGAGGGGAGGGATCGAGGTGAGAGGGTCTCTTGATTACCTGGTCAGGAGGTGGGGGTGGGGAGGAGGGGGGGAGGATGGTTCTCTGTCTCTGGGCAAGGGCTTCTTCGTTCCTTTTTCTCCCCTTCATTTTCCTCGGTCTTTTTCATCTATCCCTTCGCCAGTCTATATATATATACACACAGACATTTTCTCTTTATACATTTCCACTGCATCCGAAAACCCTATATCCTTTTGTTGATTTCCTTTTGTTCCTTTCCTATTATATTTAGTCCCATCACAGATTTAGCCTCATCACAAATAACCTAAATTTAAAAATCCATCTTTCACACGTGTTTCTGTGACTGTATATTCACATCTGTGCTTGAGTGTGAGTGACCATTGCGTGTACTGCGTATATCCACAGGCATGAACTGTCCATGTATAACACAGAGAATGAGTAATTGTGCTTTTAACGTGTGTGTGTGTGTGTGTGTGTGTGTACCTATGTAATATACGAATCACCATCACTGGTCGTTTATCTCACATGACTGCAGTACAGTTAATTTTTTACTAAGCTTGTTGATCGAAGCTTTATTTCATCTAGCAATTGGACTTTAAATGCAGTAGGAGAAAGAGTGGGCTCGGGAAGAAATTTATTCTTTTTCCTCCTCCAACGTAATAATACTATCATATTATGTTCTTTTACATTCAGGCTACATTCAGAAGACGTTCATTCATTCATATGCTTATTTACATTTATACATATTCAACAGTTTAAGCATCAATACTCTTTTTGCTTGTGGTGGGGGTATGCAAATTATATATCTTATTAGAAAGTAAAATCATTTCAAGAGAAAGAAACAGAAAGAGAGAGAGAGAGAGAGAGAGAGAGAGAGAGAGAGAGAGAGAGAGAGAGAGAGAGAGAGAGAGAGAGAGAGAGAGAGAGAAAGAGAGAGAGAGAATTTTGACAGAGAGACAAAAACAGAGAGAGGGAGAGAGAGAATGAGAAACAGAAACATACACACATAGACAAAAAAAAGAAAAGAGAGAGAGAGACAGGCAGACAGACAGACAGACAGATAGACAGATAAGCCTAGAAGCAAGCAAGCATTTCATCCCATTATAGAGCTCAAGCCGCGGGTAAATAATTATCCAAATAAATGAGTTTAAATAAGTATCATAATTCCCAGATTCTCCTTCTGCCAGCTGATCTTTATCCCGTAACTCGATTACCGCAACCCCCACCCCCCCACCCCGGTAAACTAGGCCAAGTTTTCAAACCGGCGGACGTGTTTTGCAACCGTCTTGCAATTCTGCCGCGAACGAGTTGCAAAGCGAGGCTACCTGATCTCGGCCCTTGCAAATACGGCAACGATGAAAGCCGAGAAAGTTAAGTTGCAAGATTGATGGGTGCATTTCGTCTTCCTTTCTCCTCTTGAGAAGTTTTGCAAAGTTAGTATTCTTCAATGGGGTGTGTATGTATCTATTCATCTGTCTGTCTATTTGTCTAAGGCATACTCTTTATTTCTAAGACATACTCCTCTCTGGGCTTTACACACACACACACACACACACACACACACACACACACACACACACACACACGCACGCACGCACACACACACACACACACACACACACACGCACGCACGCACACACACACACACACACACACACACACACACACACACACACACACACACACACACACACACACACACGCACGCGCACACACACACACACACACACACACACACACACACACACACACACACACACACACACACACGCACACACACACTCACACACACACATTACTCAATTAATCGCCAATTGTTAATCATCATCCATCAGTCATGCAGCCTACAAAAATCCATCATTTAAGAGTCAATCATCAATCATTTATTCTCAGTCATCAATCAATTAGTCTTAAGTTACTTAATCGTCATTCCTCAATTATTTTCAATCATCAATTTTCAGTCACAAATAAAGCAAATTATCTTTTATTTCATTCTATCTGTGTGTATACATTTTTTTTTCTAATCGGTGCAATTACTACATCCATCGTTTTTTTCTATTTTGTTGCAAAGTTTTCCATCTCTTATCTTATTATCCAGATGATGTCAAACGTATCATTTAATCACTAAACGTCAATCACAGAAATAAAAATGATACTGACAATACGAATAACATAAGTGATAATGATAATAATAACAGTGGTCTTTATTTTTATATGATAATAAGGATAATGATAATGAAGGTAATAAAGATAATAACAAAGATGATGATAATAATGATAACAGTAATAACAACAACAATAATGATAAGAGTAATGATAATGATAACAGTAATAACAATAATAATAATAATAATAGTAATGATAATGATAACAGTAATAACAACAACAATAATGATAAGAGTAATGATAATGATAACAGTAATAACAATAATAATAATAATAATAGTAATGATAATGATAACAGTAATAACAACAACAATAATGATAATAGTAATGATAATGATAACAGTAATAACAATAATAATAAGGATAATAATAATGGTAATGATAACAGTAATGACAATAATAATAATAATAATAATAGTAATGACAATGAT